AAAGATACAGAGCGAACAGGGGAACAGAAAGAAAGAAATTACAGTGATTGTTGAGGAAACTCTTTGAGTTTCTTCTTACTTTAGAGTCAACAGAAGTGAAAGTACAGACATACAGATTTGAACTTTGAAGGAAATAATCAGTCCGTTTACTTTGTTTGATTTATTGACTGATAGTTTCACAAATGAGGTAACTCTTTCCCTCACTGTCGTTAATCGAATTGAAGATACCACTTTTGACTCTATTTTACTGTATCCCTCCAAGTGAAGATTAATCTTTTCAAACGGGTATTTTTTTCTTTTCGTCATATATATCGAATTCATTGCCTTTGGAAAAATTTTGTTTTGTTTACATGTTTAGCTTCTTGTGCTGCCGATTCGTGTACGAGTGCAAGTAGAGGAACTTGTACTCCTGGATCACCCGACTTTACATGCGCGTGTATTTCTGGCTACGAGGGCAGTTTTTGTGAAACAGGTAATCTATAACTTCTGAATAGATTATAAAAAAACATACATACATTCACTTTTGATGTAAAGCAAAATCCAATGAAATTCTTATTCGTTGCTTATCAAGAAATTAAAGATACAGAGCGAACAGGGGAACAGAAAGAAAGAAATTACAGTGATTGTTGAGGAAATTCTTTGAGTTTCTTCTTACTTGAGAGTCAACAGAAGTGAAAGTACAGACATACAGATTTGAACTTTGAAAGAAATAATCAGTCCGTTTAATTTGTTTGATTTATTGACTGATAGTTTCACAAATGAGGTAACTCTTTCCCTCACTGTCGTTAATCGAATTGAAGATACCACTTTTGACTCTATTTTACTGTATCCCTCCAAGTGAAAATTAATCTTTTCAAACGGGTATTTTTTTCTTCTCGTCATATTTATCAAATTCATTGCCTTCGGAAATCATTTTTTTTTTTACATGTTTAGCTTCTTGTGCTGCCGATTCGTGTACGAGTGCAAGTAGAGGAACTTGTACTCCTGGATCACCCGACTTTACGTGCGCGTGTATTTCTGGCTACGAGGGCAGTTTTTGTGAAATAGGTAATCTATAACTTCTGAATAGATTAAACAAAAACATACATACATTCACTTTTGATGTAAAGCAAAATCCAATGAAATTCTTATTCGTTGCTTATCAAGAAATTAAAGATACAGAGCGAACAGGGGAACAGGAAGAAAGAAATTACAGTGATTGTTGAGGAAACTCTTTGAGTTTCTTCTTACTTTAGAGTCAACAGAAGTGAAAGTACAGACATACAGATTTGAACTTTGAAAGAAATAATCAGTCCGTTTACTTTGTTTGATTTATTGACTGATATTTTCACAAATGAGGTAACTCTTTCCCTCACTGTCGTTAATCGAATTGAAGATACCACTTTTGACTCTATTTTACTGTATCCCTCCAAGTGAAGATTAATCTTTTCAAACGGGTATTTTTTTCTTTTCGTCATATATATCAAATTCATTGCCTTTGGAAATTTTTTTGTTTTGTTTACATGTTTAGCTTCTTGTGCTGCCGATTCGTGTACGAGTGCAAGTAGAGGAACTTGTACTCCTGGATCACCCGACTTTACATGCGCGTGTATTTCTGGCTACGAGGGCAGTTTTTGTGAAACAGGTAATCTATAACTTCTGAATAGATTATAAAAAAAACATACATACATTCACTTTTGATGTAAAGCAAAATCCAATGAAATTCTTATTCGTTGCTTATCAAGAAATTAAAGATACAGAGCGAACAGGGGAACAGAAAGAAATAATTTACAGTGATTGTTGAGGAAATTCTTTGAGTTTCTTCATACTTGAGAGTCAACAGAAGTGAAAGTACAGACATACAGATTTGAACTTTGAAAGAAATAATCAGTCCGTTTAATTTGTTTGATTTATTGACTGATAGTTTCACAAATGAGGTAACTCTTTCCCTCACTGTCGTTAATCGAATTGAAGATACCACTTTTGACTCTATTTTACTGTATCCCTCCAAGTGAAGATTAATCTTTTCAAACGGGTATTTTTTTCTTCTCGTCATATTTATCAAATTCATTGCCTTCGGAAATCATTTTTTTTTTTTTTTACATGTTTAGCTTCTTGTGCTGCCGATTCGTGTACGAGTGCAAGTAGAGGAACTTGTACTCCTGGATCACCCGATTTTACGTGCGCGTGTATTTCTGGCTACGAGGGCAGTTTTTGTGAAACAGGTAAACTATAACTTCTGAATAGATTATACAAAACATACATACATTTACTTTTGATGTAAAGCAAAATCCAATGAAATTCTTATTCGTTGCTTATCAAGAAATTAAAGATACAGAGCGAACAGGGGAACAGAAAGAAAGAAATTACAGTGATTGTTGAGGAAATTCTTTGAGTTTCTTCATACTTGAGAGTCAACAGAAGTGAAAGTACAGACATACAGATTTGAACTTTGAAAGAAATAATCAGTCCGTTTAATTTGTTTGATTTATTGACTGATAGTTTCACAAATGAGGTAACTCTTTCCCTCACTGTCGTTAATCGAATTGAAGATACCACTTTTGACTCTATTTTACTGTATCCCTCCAAGTGAAGATTAATCTTTTCAAACGGGTATTTTTTTCTTCTCGTCATATTTATCAAATTCATTGCCTTCGGAAATCATTTTTTTTTTTTTTACATGTTTAGCTTCTTGTGCTGCCGATTCGTGTACGAGTGCAAGTAGAGGAACTTGTACTCCTGGATCACCCGACTTTACGTGCGCGTGTATTTCTGGCTACGAGGGCAGTTTTTGTGAAACAGGTAAACTATAACTTCTGAATAGATTATACAAAACATACATACATTTACTTTTGATGTAAAGCAAAATCCAATGAAATTCTTATTCGTTGCTTATCAAGAAATTAAAGATACAGAGCGAACAGGGGAACAGAAAGAAAGAAATTACAGTGATTGTTGAGGAAATTCTTTGAGTTTCTTCATACTTGAGAGTCAACAGAAGTGAAAGTACAGACATACAGATTTGAACTTTGAAAGAAATAATCAGTCCGTTTAATTTGTTTGATTTATTGACTGATAGTTTCACAAATGAGGTAACTCTTTCCCTCACTGTCGTTAATCGAATTGAAGATACCACTTTTGACTCTATTTTACTGTATCCCTCCAAGTGAAGATTAATCTTTTCAAACGGGTATTTTTTTCTTTTCGTCATATATATCAAATTCATTGCCTTTGGAAAAATTTTTGTTTTGTTTACATGTTTAGCTTCTTGTGCTGCCGATTCGTGTACGAGTGCAAGTAGAGGAACTTGTACTCCTGGATCACCCGACTTTACATGCGCGTGTATTTCTGGCTACGAGGGCAGTTTTTTGTGAAACAGGTAATCTATAACTTCTGAATAGATTATAAAAAAACATACATACATTCACTTTTGATGTAAAGCAAAATCCAATGAAATTCGTATTCGTTGCTTATCAAGAAATTAAAGATACAGAGCGAACAGGGGAACAGAAAGAAATAATTACAGTGATTGTTGAGGAAATTCTTTGAGTTTCTTCATACTTGAGAGTCAACAGAAGTGAAAGTACAGACATACAGATTTGAACTTTGAAAGAAATAATCAGTCCGTTTAATTTGTTTGATTTATTGACTGATAGTTTCACAAATGAGGTACTCTTTCCCTCACTGTCGTTAATCATAATATCTCTCTTGAGATGGACGTGTTTTTCGCGAGCTCCTGAAAAATGCACTTTTCTGCAGCCAAATAATGGACTCAAGGAAACTTTTTTATACCAAAACTGACGACGAAAGGACAGTGGTGAGATTTGTGTAATTCATTTTTCACAAATTTTTAGACTTTTAAAGATTTTGGCCATTTTATACTGTTATTTTGGTCAATTTTTTAAATATTTATTTTCTTGATTTTTGAACATTAAGCGCAATATAAACACTTTACGCAGAATTCATCTTGGATACAGCGCAAGTGAGCGCAAAGATACAACGCAAGTGTGCGCTAGTGAGTTATCTCAGTATATTACGCACTGATGTTAACGCAGTACTTTCAGCAAACAGGTGAACAATTATTTTAAATGACGTCACAATGACCATCGTTAACGTAAGAAGTCTCCGTGTGAAGGAACTCAAAGCTGAACTGCAGAAACGTGGTCTAAATAAAAATGGTGTAAAAGAAACTTTGGTAATAGGCTGCAAAGTGCAATCAATGACCATATCCATCAAGCGAGTAATGACAAAAGAAATCAGGAGACGAATACTGAGCAAGCTGATCTCTATGACCTATTCAATCTAGTTTTGTCGTCAGTTAATGAACTAGCCGACAGGCTTATCAATCTTGAAGCTAAGTTCGATAGTGCTGATCTGGTAAAGGAGAAAACAGATCTCAATGAGATAGTGGGAACTATCTCAAGAGTTGTTTATACCGTCCCGACGAAGAATAGGTTCGATGTCCTTGCGGATAATCATGTCACTGACGCTGAGCCTGCTACTTCGATGTCGACTAGTGACCAGATGAAAGAGTACCGAGATAGGCATCGCCAGCGCCGCTTATCTGAGCTACATGAATCTGTCCTTGAAGGCACAGACGTCGAGCCTCCTACTCCGATGTCGACGAGCGACCAGATGAAACAGTACCGAGATGGGCATCGCCAGCGCCGCCTGTTGGAGGTACCTGCTGCTGTTTTCGAAGGCACTGACGCAAAGCCTTCGACTTCGATGTCGACGAGCGACCAAACCAATGGTTCCGACAAGGGCATCGCCACGCCGCTTGTCTGAGCTACCAGATGTTGTCATCGAAGGCGACTCGATGATCAAGCACATCGAGGGCCGACTCCTGAGCCGAAAACATAGAGTAGTCTGCCATCCGAACCCAGGGGCAACGTGGCTGATATCTCCTCTAAGAAGGCTACTGAGGGTGTAAAGGCGAAAGGAGACGTCATTCTACATGTCGGGTCAAATGACTTGTCGAAAGGTAAGGTAGTACATCAACCGCCAATGACATCATAGCATTAGCAGACGTGATTGCAGCGAAAGGCTGTGATGTATGCTTGTCTGGTGTTATACACCGCAGATGGGAATCGGTTCACCAGAGGCGCAGTGTCGATGGGGTTAATGGGCGATTGAGAAGAGCTGCCCGTGAAAGGAGATGGGGTTTCGTTGACAACGACAACATAGGTGACAGGCACCTTGGCAGAGATGGGGTCCACATCAATAAGGCAGGACAAGCTGTTCTTGCCTCTAATCTACGCCACTTTATTGAGCGACCTCGAGGGCCACCTACACCTACTCAGCAAACGTCCTACGCTGAAGTTTTGGATCTTCAACGCAGGATTTCGAGATGATTGCTCCGAGAGGGAGGCTAAAGTCTGCACCTGCTCTTCCAATGTTTCCACTGACAAAAGCTCAACAGGGTGGAACGAGCATCTACGTCTCGTCATGGCAACATGCAGTTAAACTCTGTCTCTGGTACTGGCATACTACATCATAATCTTCAGGATCAATCTCATGAACTGAATAAGAGTAACATTAAACAGTTGGAAGGTGGATCAGTTCCTCCGTTTAGAAACAGGGGCTTAAAATTTTCCCATTGAATATTCATAGCTTAGTTGCTAAGATTGACGAACTTAGATTACTTCTGAGAATGCATCATTTGATGTTTATTGGTTTAAATGAAACATTTGCGACTCCATGATTGATGATTCTGAATTGTATATAGATGATTATATTTTATTACGTAGAGACCGTACGAGACATGGTGGTGGGTGTGGCTGTATATATATCCAAGAAGTTCAATTATAAAGAAGGGATGATTTGATTTCTTCTACTTTATAATGCCTGGGTTTGAATTGCATTATCCAAATAAGTCTCCCATCCTGGTTGGAGAGTTTTACAGACCTCCAATTCTCACGTTGATTTCTTTGAAGAATTAGACGGAAGTTTGGACTCTGCTCTCTCGGAAGAAGAGCTGTATTATTTTAGGTGATTTCAATTGTGATTGTATGCCACACCAACTTGATCTGAATGCTGAAAGTTTAATGTTTTATACAAATATGTACGGGTTAAGTCAGCTAATTGATACTGCCACAAGAGTTACAAATACCTCTTCTACTTTAATTGATTTGATATTTGTATCAGACAAGGAACTTTACAATGAATGGGGAATATTTGAAACTAGCATAAGTGATCTTATTTGTGTATACGGTTCGCGATTTTAGTGCAAAGATCCATAACAAATCCGAATACACGCAGATTTCGCTCGTTTAAAAATCTTGACGAGGAGAAATTTTACAGTGAATTGAGAAGTACTCCTGGCAGGTCATAAAGATATAGATACTGTTGATGTTGCGTGGGATATGTGGTTGGACCTATTCAATAATATAATCAACAAGCACATACCAGTATGTAAAAAGCGGATAAGAAAAAAGGCATGTCCATGGATATCTGACGAGATTGTTAAGCTTATGACGGAACGTGATAAAGTTCTCAAAGCTGCTAAAGCTAACCAAAGTGATGATCTGGGGGACACTACAAATATCTAAAGAATACAGTTATTCATCTCATGAGGACAAAGAAAAGAGAAGATAAGCAGACCAGATCTCGCAAAATCATAACAATAGTAAGCAAATGTGGAGATGTTTGAGAAACCTTGTGCCTAAGTCATTACCTATATCTCCCAATAGCATAAATGTTGATGGTGCTAAGTGTCAGACAATGCAAATATTGCTGAAGCTTTTAATGACTTTTCATTTCTAATGCTACTAAGATTACAAAGGACCTGCGAAGGAATAAGTCTCAACTGAGAGTAGACGAGGACAATAATATTGGTCCAACTCATTCGCAATTTAATTTGAATTTGATTACTGAGGATTTTGTATGAAACAGATTGATAATCTGAGTATAGATAAAGCAACTGGTGAAGATCACATCAGCTGTAAACTTTAAAGATGACGAAGAATGTTATCGCAGAGTCTCTTTGTGATATCATAACAAACCTGTCTACAGGAGTGTTCCACGTGAATGGAAAAGGCTCGGGTA